AGAAACTCAGAAGCTGATCAAATATCGGGTTAAATATCGGTGGGGTGGCCGATGTCCGATATTCAGTTTTAAGGCCGATACAGGCCGATACTGATAGGGGGCAGATTATATCGTGCATTCCTACTTTTTTTCCCTTTGGGATCCATGGCCCAAGACACACCCGTCATTTTCTTTGCCTGGCACCGCACCACGCTGAGATATGTGTTGCAGGCTTTGACCACTGATCTCTGTGGCTATGATGCACATTTTCGCTAAAATAAATGTTTACATATATTTTTTAAATGTATTTATTATACAAATGTTTACAGCATTGGAAAATATAATGAATGCAAGTTTGACCTTCTGCACACCATATTAAAATAAACAAACCAAAAAACTTAATTTTTCATCAATTTTTGAAAAAACCAGAGGAGTCGCGGTTTGCCGACCCCTGACCTAAGGCGTTAAGACGAAGCCAACAACATAAAAAAACAGCAAACAACAAAAACCCTAATACTGTTTTTAGTGGTAAAACCATCTCTTTTCACCTGCAGCTTTTTACCCCAAGGCCACCGTGCAGCAGCAATTCATCTACGTAAACTTGAGACAGAAAGTAAGAACTGAGCCAAACCAGACTAGCAGCTTTTTTAGATACATAGAACATTATAAAACAGGCCAAACATGTCACTTACTCTGAGATGTGAAGGCTGTTGTCTTTTCCCTCCTCCACTGACACCTGAACAGTGCTCTTCACATGCTCGGCAGCCAAAAGCGCTCCTGTATAACCAGATATAATTTTGTCAACTTGAGATCAACAGATGTGTAATTAAAGGCCAGTTTACATGGTTTCTGTTTTCACTGAGTAATCATTAAAAAGTCCTCAAATCTTACAGAATTAAACTGGAAGAGGAAAACTACCATCTGTCTCTGAGACATTATCTTTACATTCCTGGTACAGTTACACCTAATTATGCGTAACAACAGCAGCTAGTATGTTTCAGTGTCATCTCTACATAGCAGAGATTTTTCATGATGCATACGAAGGTGTTCTAGTTTTCCAGTAAAAGTCACGGTTTCAAGCAAACAAAACAACAAGCAGGATACCTCAAATATGCAGACAAGTACGGTCTCTGTTTTGTGAAAGCTTTATGCTGTTTGTGAAAATGCTAAATTGTTTTATTTCATGTATTTATTAGTTTGTAAACATTATTCCACACCCAATCAAAAACCACAAAGACCTGGCCTTATTTAAATTTTTCAGACACTTGATAATGGCATTTCACTGGTCGCCTAAATTAAGGTTTCTTTGCTCTGCAACAATCAATTAAGTCAGCAGACACTCAAAACGTGGCCCATAACGAGCCATCAAGAACTAGACTGATAATAAATTAGACTGAAGCTAAAATTATCTAAAAACCAACCAGGGGTGTGGTTACAGAGTTAGGAGGTCTGAGGAATCTGAATCAAAACTGTCCTGCTCTTGAAAAACAAGTGGGGTCCCACGGAGAACCGCAAGCAAAGCACAGAAAAAGCTTTTAAATTAGGTTTATGTCTTAAACAGAAGTGTATTGCATTCACCAAAGAAAAAACAAATCTGACAGCTTATAAGATCTTTTGTCATAATTACGAGATCGGTATCTATGGTGAATGCAATACGCTTCTGTAACTTGTCATGTTCATAAATAAAATAAAGCTTTCACAAATCAGAAACTGTAACTGAATTTATGTACAGCCTCAGAACAAGATTTGAGACCAAGTTCGAAGGATCTAAATATTGTGGTTTTTTGATTAGGACCTGGTGTGGTCTATATCCTGGAAAAGCCATAGAATGAGGCTACCTGTCAATTTCATGAATAATATAAAGCTTTTACAAATCATGACCTGTGTTTGCATACATATATTCACATACATACACAAATATATATTATATATATATATATATATATATATATATATATATATATATATATATATATATATATATATATATATACACATAGATTCATATACACATACATACATACATACATACATACATATAGTCACTAAAGAACATTTGAACGCAGGTTTTAATAGTTAACGTGTTGTAGCTTTAAACAGGACCTCCTTACATGTTTCAGCCTGCTTGCATCAGCCTGCTGTATTCACTCTGAGGCTCCAGGGGGCGCTATTTCACCTGTTGTCATTTCGGTTTATTCAAGTATCGTCCTGATTTAAACTACTAGGAATGCAATATCAAGAACATCCAAACAGAAAGGGACGAATAAAGCGTCGGAAAACATACATTTAACACGATATCATAGAAAATATGATAACCCGACCTAATTAGGACTAAACTATGCAAACTCAAAGGGATAAATACTGGCTATCCCAATGAAATAACTCTTTTTCTAATCTTGAACTTCAACTAGCTAGGTAAAATGTCATGTTGACATGTCATGATGACATGGGAAGTATTACACGTATTAAAGTTACTATTTAGGACAGGAAAATTACAGGAATTGGTCACAACTTCGGTTTTAAAGGCTTTTAAAGAGCGCCACGACTACAGGTTAGCTGCCCAGGCTAAGCTCATATAGACTTACTATAACTCACTTCAAACACTATTTTCTGAGAGAGGAAACTTCTATTTATATATCTGTAGTATTTCACGGAATAAATAATCAGACATAACTCAATTATAAATCTTTAAAAGTGAAAGGGATGTTTTGTTTTGCTAGCTGATGAGCTGTCACCCGGGGCGCGTGCAGGCTCACAGAGGCTGGGATGATAATGATTAAATGACAGCTGAAGCTCACCTAGAGGCGGGTTGTTGGTGTTAATCCTCAGGTTTAATGCCATCCTGCTGGATTAGTTTTCTAAACAGCCGGTTGTCTTCACACTGTTAAAAAAGAACCCAGAGAAATGAAAGGATCCACAGGAGCTTCTCTCTACACGCCACACTAGCGGCCCGGAAGAAGAGAGAGTATTACTGTGACGAACAACCAACACAACACTGCCTCCTACTGTATGGGAGGAAGCAGAACCACACCGCTGCGTCCTGGGGGCTTCTTCTTACTGTTATTATTATTTGTTTTTTGGAAAGCAACTTATTGTGATTATGTGATACGCATTACCATCATCTACTGGAATGGAGTGCGGGTCGGTATACTATATAAAAATTCTCCCACAAAAATAAATACATACATACATACATACATACATACATACATACATACATACATACATACATACATACATACATACAGACAGACAGACAGACAGACAGACAGACAGACAGACAGACAGACATACATACATAGATGATAGATAATTTTTTATTTATTTATTTTTTTACATTAACGTTGAGGCGGAACACAAAATAGAGCATCTGTTTCCAGTCGGGTCCGTTTCAAGGACCGCCTCCTGATTTTCTGCAGCTTTCTCCTAAAGTTGATCTTTAAAACAAAGTTTGGCAGCTATCAGTGAACGGCTTTATTTGTGTCCAGCATAGTGAGCCAGATTCACTTCTCTGTTTTCTGATTTGGTAAGAAAAACGCGACCAGCCGCAGGTAACAGCAACATTTAGACATTTGTTTGTTTCCATCGTTTCACTCGTCCAATCATAGCATGCCTGTTGCTCTCTGGACACTGTGGTCGCCTTTGTTTGCCTTAATACACGTTTTTCTCACCCAACATTGAGAATGCAATATTAATATATGCTAATGGAGATTCTTTGTGCGAAAGATTTCATTAGATTATAAAGTATTGTTTTAACTTACATCATGAAATGCATGCATAAATAAACAACATCAAATAGAAAATAGAAAAAAAAAAACTACATAGAGAAAATAAAGATTCATTTCCAGATGTGATGAGTGTTTATTTTAGTATTTTAATAATTATAATAGAATCATTATTAAATAACAAAAGTTATATTTAGATTTTTTTTTTTTAACTAACATTATTGTTGCTAATTGGTGGATTGACTAATGGTGCCCTGGACAAGATAGTAGGGGGGAAAAAATTTAAGAGGCGCCTTAAAAAAATCACTCCTGAACATTTTAGAAAATGAAGATAAAAAATAAACAGATAACAGATGATCAATAAAAGCTGCATTCAAGGAAAATGGATACTACTGAAGAGGCATGTTCTGAGTCTTGGTTTCAGTTGGTGAAGGTTGTGTGACAGATGTTTGAAGGGAGAGAGAAATATTGAGACTATTCTTGATGTGAGACATGAAAGATGAAATAGATAGAGAAAAACTTTATATTATAATTAATATAGATTTACAATAGACCAAAAGTTTGGACACCCTTCATTCAAAGAGTTTCCTTTATTTTCATGACTTTTAAAATTGTAAATTCACACACAGGCATCAAAACAATGAATTAACACATGTGGAATTATATACTTAACAAAATAGTGTGAAACAACTGAAAATTTGTCTCATGTATTACAAGTTCTTCAAGGTAGCCACCCTTTGCTTTGATTACTGCTTGGAACACTTCATACTGTACTGCACTTCCTACAAGGAGCAGGTCTGTTTTATCACTGCTTCATTTCAGGAAACTGGAAGCAAACCAAGATTTAATTTCAGTCAAACACCCGTTGAGGGAGGAAGGTGAAAGTCCAGAGTTAGGCTTGCTAGATATGTAAAGTTATCTATTAAGTGTTGTCTACTGATTCAAATATAAACGTGTTTCTGAATGTGATTCTAGGTGCTTTGAGTGGATTGTAGCGTAACTAGAAACGCTCTATATAAATTCAACCCTTTAAAAACTAAAACTGTCACTTATTATTATATTATTAATGAGATTTTTTTTTTACCGCTTGATGCCCATGGCTTCATATATGCAACAATCCATTTGTATCCACAGCCAACATAGCGTGTGCATTCCTCCAGTGCCACTTATTAGACTGTTGGTGTGGAACTAGGAACCTTTGGCAAGCTCTTGTTTCCGTTACAAGTGGTTCCTAACTATGTATTATCATTGAAAATATAATTGTTGTCACAAATTTCTAATATACCTACATTTCTATTTATTTTCAAAATAAATACATTGTTTAGAAATTGTAATTTTGCAACTTGTTAAATGTAAAAACCTTTTCTCTCTCTCTCTCTCTA